TGTGTGTGTGTGTGTGTGTGTGTGTAGTGTGTGTGTGTGTATGTGTGTGTATGCCGCTCTCCCTTTCTCCTCTCTCTTTCCTCTCTCTCTCTCTCTCTCTCTCTCTCTCTCTCTCTCTCTCTCTCTTTCTCTCTTTCTCTCTTTCGTTATTCCTTTCTTTCTTTCTCTCTCACACTCTCAGCTTCATAATTGGTTTGACGCCTTTGAAAAAGGATGTGAAAAGAGCAAGACGTAAAATCAAAACCACAAAACCGGCTAAATACAACAAAAGGACAGAAAAAAGGCTATCCAAGAACTTCGAATTTTTAACTCAGCTAAAACAAACGAATCATGTTGTGCGTGATGTTACTTTTTAATTTTTAATAAGTATTTTACGGCGCTCCCAATTGCATACAGTTATGAGAGCTCATTGATTTAGACATTTTCAGTTAGGAAGGAATCAATTTAAAATTTCGCCCGGATGGGGGTTGAAAGCCTACTTCTATCAATTTTAGGACCACGAACACGGGGCCTCCGAGATTGTTTCGCCCTTATCTGACAAGGCTACTTTTTTAGCTCAGGGGTGTGTCTGAAAGATAGCAGTAAGAGGGAGCCAAGGATTAGCAGTAGAAAGGAAGCGAAAAGAGTTAGGGGTCCAGAGGAGGGGGCAGAAAGTGGAGACGAAAGCAGACATAGTCAGAGAGAAGGAAAGGAGTTGAAAAGAAATATTTTCTTTAAAGAAGAATATTTTGTGTTGCTGTTAGGTTTCGAACCCGGGACCTATTAAATGAGAGGCAAACACCGTACTTCTACACCACAAGAGCTCCCGATACTACTTCTAAATCCCTCAACGCTTCGAGGTTTCGCAATCTTGTCATTCGACAACGCTTGAGAACGCGCTTTCTTTGGGGGGGGGGGGGGAGTATTTAAAAAAGTAACATAAATCAGCTAACAACATCCACTATTAAACTCTGATTTCTTTAACTGAAACTTCAATAAAAGGCAGGTAACTATACACATTAGGAAATATGCTCAGTCCTTTTTGTTTGACATTATTGTGCATGGTGGTTCTAAATATGCCGTGACATTGATGCCTTTTGTCTGCCGCTGATCGGACAAAGGCGCCCTGTTAGTTCATTTGAACTATCGAGTAGAAAGCCGTTGTTTAAATCATAGACAAAGCATTCTTGAACTGGGGACATTGGGGATTGCCTTGTTAGTGAGACAACTTCCTGGGCCTTGAGCATTGTGGTAGGGTGGCCAGTTCTTTTCCCCGCCGCCTTTACTTCCCCAACTCGAAGTCAGGTACCCATTACTGCTGGGTGGGCAGGAGGGGGCGACAAAAATCTGTGTCCGAACTGAGGCTCGATTCCGGACTTTCCGCTTTGGAGATGAGCGCACTAACGGCTCCCACTAGCTGCTCCGCCACCGCACCCTCCTAGCCTCTTAAACAATCTAAAAGTAATGATAGAGGTGTTGAACCCCAACACTTACTGTTCACTGATCGGACGAACGTATCGGCTACGTCCTTAAACGGTTAACCCGGATTGAGAGAAGTAGCCTAGTCCTTTTAGCATAGCTGTCACGACACGGTAGAATCATGCCCTCGTCACCTTTTGGACATATTATAAGATAAGATAATATACATCTTTATTGTCCACATCCAAGCACATTGAATTGGTGTTTCACCACGTACACACATACACATACGCACACACACACACACACACACACACACACACACACACAAGCACTTATTTTTTCATCTTGTGTGTGATGGATTAAAAGGTAATTTGATCACTTGAC